CAGTCTCAGGTCTTCATTTATGGCCTCCATGCTGAGCAAACCAGACTCATCTAATATTGTCAGCAGATGCAAGATACAGCATCAAAAATCCATGTAGATTTCTGCTACTAGGGGCGGTGTTATTATGTTCAAGGACTTAAGAAGAAGGAAAGCATGCTCACTCACCCTTGGATGGCTCAGGGGCTCCCTTCCCTCATTGCAAAAGTTTGTACAGAAGTATGAGTGCTTATATGGAACCTTCTTGGAAAGCTTCCATCATGAGCTCTCATATGTGCCTCCCAGAAACAACTACCACTCTTGCCTCCACATGCTTATAAAAATCCCATCAAACTACGCTTCCCATGCAAAGGCATGTAATCATGAAGTGAAATGCCTCTCCTGGCACAGACCCTACTGTTTGTTCATTTGCCCTCTGCACATCTCTTCAGGGTAATGAGGGTTCAGGGAATGACATGCACCATGTCAATTCATTCCTGAGACACATGACATTGTGGTGTTGGCCTTCACCACTCCCCAGGTGATGTTATCATCATTATTTTATCTATGCAGACTACTCATAAAACAAACTATAGGCATTACAGTTTGGTTTTATGGTACTGGAGTTTGAACTCAGGATTTTGCACTTTCTAGGCAGGTGCTCCACCACTTATGCCACACCATCAGCCTTTTCTGCTCTGCTTACTTTGGATGTAGTGTTTCATATTTTTCCCAGGCCAGCCTTGACCATGATTCTCCTATTTTATGCTCCTTGCCATTGTTGAGATGACAGGCATGTGCCACCATACTCAGCTTTTATCCATGGAGAAGGAGTCTTCAAACTTTTTTTGTTCAGGCTGGTTTGCAACCATGATCCTTCTGATCTCAACCTTCAGCATACCTTGGGATGGCAGGCATACACCACCATAACCAGGTCACTATTGGTTGAAATGGCGTCTTACAAACTTTTTGTCAGTATTGGCCTAAAGTTATGATCCTCCAAATCTCAGCCTCCCAATTAGCTGGGATTACAGGTGTAAGCCACTGGCACCTGCCTTTTATAGTTCATTATGTAACAAAACTGTTCAAATTTTTGAGCTCCCTTTATATTCTGGTTATCAGTTCCTTGTCAGATGTATAACTAGTGAAGATTTTCTCCCATTCTGTGGGCTGTCTCTTAAATCTGGTAATTGTTTCCTTTGTTGTGCTGAAGCTTTTTAGTTTTATGTAGTCCCATTTGTCAATCCTTCTCTTAGTTGCTGAGCCATTGGGATATTACTTGGGAAGTTATTGCCTATGACTACTCTTCCTGCACTAGTTTCAGCAAACCTGTTGAAATTGTTCTAAGAAGGAGTAGGGAGAATAAAAGAAAAGAGGGAGGGTGTGAATTTAATTAAGATATATTGTAAGCACTTATGTAAATGTCACAATATACCCCCTGTACAAAAATAATATGCTAATAGTTTTTTTAAAAGAATTAAAATAAAACTTTTCAAATACCCAATGAGAAGGTGAGCTTTATACTCTCCTCACTTCCTATTTTCCTCTTCACATTAGTTACACATTTAGACATTGACTGGGGTGGGGAATGTCTATTGAATTAACAAGCAGAGTAAACTGGTAGCAGGCATGTTGGCTACATCAAAAGTGTTTGCCTTTTGTAGTCCAGGTTACATGTTCCCCACTGTCTGTTTATTCCTTTCATTTGTAAGGAAAGGGGTTATGGCAATCGTGTAACTGCTTCCTTCCTTCAGTTAATTCATGGACCTAAATAAGGAGTCAGTGCTCCTCAGCAGAAGAACCTTTTGATCCCCCGTTACATGTTGATTTTGTGTCTGGCTGCTTTGCCAAAACTGTTTATCAGACTTAAGAGTTTTCTGGTGGTCATTAGGGTCTTTCAAGTATAGGATCATATCATCTGTTAATGAGGATAATTTGACTTCTTTTTTGTTTGTATCCCTTTTATTGCTTTCTCTTTCTTTATTACTATGGCTAGGAATTCAAGCAGTATATTGAATAAGAGTGGAGAGAGTGGACACACTTGCTTTGTCCTGACTTTAGAGAAAATGTTTTCAGTTTTTCTCTATTTAGTACAATATCGGTTATAGGTTTGTCATATATAGTCTTTGTTATGTTGAAATACATTCTTTTTATCCCTAGTTTCTTCAAGGATTTTATCATAAAGGGATGTTGAATTTTTGTCAAAGGTTTTTTTCTGCATCTATTGAGATGATCATGTGATTTTTTGTCTCTGATTATATTTATATACTGTATTACATTTATTGATTTGTATATGTGAACTATGCTCTTATTCCAGAAAAATGTTTGAGGCAGAAAAAAATTGTGAAGCATGTTATTAGGGGGCTAAGGAGAGGGAGAAATTGGAAAATGTTGATCAAAGATTCTGTTAGGTGGATGTGTCAATTCTAGAGATTTAATATCCAGCGTTGTGAATATAGTTAGTAATACTGTATTGAATGCTTGAAATTTGGAAAGACAGTAGCTCTTAAATCCTCTTACTATAAACTTAAATAAAATAAGACTTCATGATTTGATGGATACACTTGCTTATGGTAATCATTTCACAAAGTATACATATATCAAGACATCATATTGTATACTGCAAATATACTCAAGTTTTAATGGTCAACAGACCTCAGTAAAGGTAGGGAAAAAACCTGAGACTCTGATGAAAATTCATGAAGCTCTGTTGCTGTTCTATGTGTTCACTACAGATGCATTTTTTATTCTCATTGAAGTCTTTGGCACAAGAATAACAAATTTCCTCTTCTTGTCATCTCTTTCTACCATCCTTAGTAACTTTAATAAATATTTTCATTATTAATCCATATGCAAAACTTGCACCTCACTCTTTAGCATTTCATACCTTTATCATGTTACCCATATTCTCTTATAGTGGTGGGGAGCAAGGCTGTTGGCAATCACCATGTGTTTTGTAATTAGAATCATCTCTAAGTACAGAACTGCCTTCCTCATTCACCATCCTCTCCACCTTCTGCTACACATTCCTCCTGACACTTGTCTTTAAGTAGCTTCTCCAATTGCTGGGTCATTCATTCTCTATTGATTTCATTAACCTTGTTCTTTCTTTGAGATCCTTTATGAATAAGATGTTTTAAGAATTCTTTTTCATTTCTCTTTGTTTTCCTCTGTCCATTCTTTCCATGGACAATATAATTATTACTTATATTTAATGACAACCTCTAAAGAAGCAGCTGCATCTCTACCCTGTCGAGCTTTTAAAAAAATCAGACTTTCTCTTTACCTTCCTAAGCCTACAGAGTAATCACTGTGCTGAACATACAGTTGCTAAATTTGCTGTTTTTCTGTGATAGGAGCAAGTTTTCTATATAATCAATTACAATTATATATGGCTGTGATGAATTCAAGATCAAGTTGGTGTTTGGTGCGCCAAGTGAAGAGAACACATTATACCTGTGGAGAAAATATGCTGTTTTTGGTGGAACTAGGGTTTAAACTTGGGGCTTCATGCTTGCAAAGCTGGTGCTCTACCACTTGAGCCACACCTGGTTATTTTAGAGATAGGATCTCACTCCAACCCCTGGCTGACCTCAAACCTCAATCCTCCTGATATCAGCTTCTCAAATACCTAGGATTATAGACATGAGCTCTGCCACCTGGCTGGAAAACATATTTTACTTTACAGTGTGGTCTTTAAAAGTTATAACATTGCAAAAGGCAGATATTGAATGGAACAGTTCAGTGTGAACCTGTTTATAGTAAAGGCAAACTTGGGAATGGAGACCCTGGCTGCCATTTTGTATTGCGATCTCACATTTTATATTGTAGTCTCCAGCTCAAGCCCAGATCAACCACTTTGCTTTGGTGCACGAACTGATGTCTCAGCTTCCTGAATGTGAGAGAGCATAGACTTCTAAGGCTCAAATCACAAGCATCCTCCTCCCAGGACCTAAATGGGAGTTTGTGCTTGTTGGGGAGATCAACGGCAGCCATGTGGAGCTAAGGACTGAGTGAGCATACAGATTGCTATTTGGGTTCCAAGGAGGAGACTGTGTATCTAGAGCCTCCTACCCTGTCAACACTCCATCTTCACAGGTTTCTTGTCTTGCCACTGGCATATACTCACTGGGCGGTAGCAATGGCGTTGGTACTCTTGGGGCCCATTCCATAGTGGTTGAGATTCATGTAAGGCTGCTTCATGTTTCAGATGAAGTAGAAGACAAGTACAATGCCCGCCAGTTTTCATGTCTCCAGGTATAGCTCCTTTTGTTGAGCAGACACAATTTTCTCAGTGTCTTCCATCTTGAAATCTGTTTCTGAATTTTCCTTAGCTGTTTTCTCATTTTGGATCATTTAGGGGGCTTTGGCCTCACAGTAGAGTGCTTCATTGCTTCTTTGTGGTGCTATAATGCTAACTTGTCTAATGTGTCTAAATGCCCAGGCTCTCTCATGGTCAGGCACAAATGGGTCTGGGAAGGGGAAGGGGCAGAGCAGGTGGTGAAGTAAGTCAAGTAGAGTAAAACAGAGCAGGGGATAGTCCCAGGAAACATAAACAAGAACTTGGTTCTCATAACTTGACCTTGCTTCAAGAATGCATTTTTAATAGACTTCAATTTTAGACTAATTTTAAGTCCACAGAGAAATTGAGTGGAAATAACAAACACTTCCTGTGTTCTCCTTTATCATACACACATGTATCACTCCCTTTACTAACAAAATTTCCCAACAGAGTGGTACATTTGTAACAGCTGATGAACCTAAATCACTATGACCCAAAGTTCATACACATTTTAAAGGGCCTAATTTTATATAGTTAGCACACGGAAATGCTGAGCTAGAATACAGGTTTCCATATTAGAACTCTATCATCCAGAACCAAAGTTCCAAGTTATTATAGCCATATTACTTTCAACTCACATTCTAGAGGGGAAAATAACCTTTTAATGAGGACCCTACATCCTCCCAACAAAAACTGTAGGTTCCTCCCAATAAGAATGATTAAACTTATTCCATCTCCATCATCAGCAAAATTTCCAAACCCGGTCCATGTTGTAATTTCTGGTCAGTGAACACCATCTTCTCCCAAACACCTCTCCATCCTCTGTGCATTCCCAGTAAATTGTGCGTCTGTACCAGAAGGGAAACATACACTGGGCAAAATCTGCACAGAGAAAGAGGCAGTTGTAAGAGGAACTCTACTATTTGTGGCTCCCTCCAGCACCATCTTCTCTGCCCTATTGCACTGAAAGCATATGAGAACAAGATTGAGAGTGGAGGTTGCAAACCCGTACTGCTTTGGTGTGTTCTACTGATAGGTTTTTTTCAAGTTAATGTAGTCTAACTACTAATCTATCCTTGGTGCTATGTGATTTTCATACTTCTAGAAGTTGGCATCTCTTATTTTCACAATTGAATTGGCTCCGATTTCTTATTCTGTTTCTCACTAAATAGCCCCAGAGACCAAAACAACCTCCACCTTCAAGTATCATCTTGAGGTATTTAGAGGCAAGACACTCACCTTCCAGAGAACAATACTTCCAGTATCCTTGAAAAATACTATGTAATGAGCACCACCTGTGTTTCGCATTCAACTTCACGCAGTCATGATATTTTTCATGTCTATACCAGAATGGAAAGACACATTGGCCATCTAGAGGAAACAAAAATCCTTCATCTCTCTCTGCTTGTGTTAGTAGAGTGTGAAAAAGTGGCTTCCTCCTTGGAGTTTCTGCACTCTGAGATCAGAGCCAATGTTCAGTTCTGAAGAATATTATTGCACTACACAATAGCAGAGGTGCTGGGCCTCCAATGGTAAAGATTTTGTTTTATGTCACTGTCCAACTTTTTCTCAGGGCATAGGCAGTCTTGAAACACTCCGGTTTACCATTTACCTCACTCACAGAAACCTATGCTAAGCCTGGGATCATGAATGCAGGCAGGGCATTTATCTACCAACTTCCCCTCCAGTCCTGGGATTTCCATCATCATCATTCTCTCTCTCTCTCTCTCCTCCTTTCCTTACCTTCCTTCCCTCTTTCTCCCCTCTCCTCTCTCTCCCTCTATTCTCCTCTGCCTCCCTCCTTCTTTCTCCTCTTCCTCTCTCTCTCCCCTCTCCTCTCTTTCCACTCTTCCCTCTTTCCCCCCTTTCCTTTTCTCTCTCTCTCCCCCTTTCTCTCTTCTCTCCCCCATACTCTTTCTCACCTATAAAACTAAATACAAAGTTGACTTCCATTTCCATGAGACCCACATGCATGAATTTGACCAACTCCAGATTGAAAATATTCATAAAAATGTTTCTGTACTGAACATGTACAGAGTTTTTTCTTGTCATATTCCCTAAAAATACAGCATAGCCATCTTGAATAGCATTAGGTCTTATCAATACTTTAGAGATGATTTAAAGAATATGGAAACATGTGTGTAGGTTATATGCAAGTATTACAAAATTTTATATATGGGACTCAAGAGTTTGCATATTTTGGTATTTGTCACGGAACAGACTCTCCATGGATCCTGGGGGGTGTACACACATATATTCATGCCTATATATGAATATAACCATTAAGCATATATAAAAACATACAGCACACATATATGTATATATACTTAAAACCATGCAACACACACATGTGCACAGGCAGACATAGGGAAACATACACAGATTTTCCTACCCCTCAAAATGAATCACCCTTTATATCCATAATTTGATTTTCTTTTTTTCTGTTTTTATTCACATGTACATACATTGTTTAGGTCATTTCTCCCCACTACTCCCCTCCCTCCCTCACTTTCTCCCCCCTTTGATTTTCTAACTGAACACATCATGGAAATCTTAAAAACTTTTTTTTGGCAGTATTGGGGTTTGAACTTAGGGCCTTGCACTTGCTGGGCAAGTGCTCTACCACTTCAGCCACATGCTGTCTTCCCAGAGGAAATCTTTTAAAAAAATAAAATTTTTAGTTCTACCTTCTTCTTCCTAATGTTGACTTATGCCCTTTGATATGGATTCACCAAAATTCTTCCTCCTCTGTAAACAGAGTTGCAGTAGGCATTTCACGTACATAAATCTTTATTTATGGAACAATTGTTTCTATAGTTTACACTCCTCACAGCAAGGTTATTAGGACAAAACATGTGTCAAGTTTGAACATTGGTGGATATTGTTTTCTAAAGGTCAACACCTAAATTTTTCTAGAAATGTGTTCTTTTGCCTGGCACTTTGAAAGTGTTTCCCTAGTAAGTGTGAGGCCCTGAGTTCAAAACACCAGTAATCCTCCCACCAAATATGTTTACCAGTATGACAGATTATCTTTGCCTTCTTTTAGAACATATGCTTTTCCTTAGGTCATATATATATTTTCTTACATTTTTTCTTATATTAAATGATTTTGTTTCTTTTATATGGAAAATTTAATCAATTAAGAATTTCTTTTGGTAGATTATGCAAGAGAACAAAGCAACTTTATTCAAAGACATATTCAATAAAGACAATTTGATGATGAAATAAACCTCTTGTACATTTAAATACCTGTATACTTCAAACTGTACACTAAATCCTAATATATACTTGGATTCATTTTTTCTATTGAGTTTCTTGAAATTATTAGCAATGGTTGGAATCATCACAAAATATTACTTTTTATCATTATTGTTTGGCTCTTCCAACACTAATACCATGCTTTTAATATTACAATAACTTTAGTGTGTTTAAAGACCAATGAGTGTTTTTCTACCATAATACAATTTGGTTCATAAAATTCCTATTATTGGATGTTTTTCTACATGAATTTTAAAACCTAGCATTCTCTATTACATTGGCAGAAATTAGAGACCGTAAACATTTAGTGCTGATGAAAGTTTGTGGCAGCTTATATCTCTCTATTTCAAATAGTATGGTACTTATATTACATTTTATAAAAGGCAAGAAAAAGAAAAAAATTACCAGAAACAAAATTACTATTTCCATCATTTTTGCAAAATTAAAAGAAAACATATTTTGTAGTGAAAGTTTTCTGATATACTTGCCTTCTTTCTCTGGATATATAATTGTAGAATCTAAAAAAAAATTTGAAGTGAAGTTTGTTTCATTGTTCTTAGACTTTAAAGTGAGATCTTATATAAAATGACATTAAGTGGAAACGTTAATTTGAAATTGACATTGTTAATGGATTATTTCAGGAATATGGCATGGTCTTCTATTTTCAGAACTAATTACATATTCTTCACTATGATTTTATCATTTCTGTTATATAAATCCTACACATTCCTTGGTATCTTTCACTGTTCATGTAAAATAGAATCTTTTTCTTTTCTATCAGTGAGCTGATTCTTACCAGTGCAGAGAAAAACTACTCAATATTACGTTTAGCTTATATCCAGGGACACAGCTAGAATCTCCAATTAAAACCAATCAATTTTAATAAGGTTCCTAAGGGTTCTAAAGTACATCATCATAAAGTAATTTTGTCTGTTATTTTATCTAAGCTTGTAGATTACTATCTCTTATAACATCAACAAGATAAATATATTAATGACCATGGAAATTTTGTACTTTAATTTTAGCTGAGAGAAGGCATTTTCTATTTCATTATGCTCTATAAGACTCAATGTAACAATAACATTTCCAAATTGCATGTGATGAAATATTTAAGCACTCAAAAGTGTTAATAGCAAAGTTGATAGTAAAATTATAACCTCTTCTTTCACTTAACTATTTTTGAAATGGAACCTGCTACACATGTAAGTATATAAAAAACTAGTTTTTTAATGAAAATATGATTTCTTACCAAGAACAGAAGTATTCATTGACTTCATTTTTTAAACAAAATTTTAAAAAGGACTAATAAAATATTTAAAAAATAAACTCACGTATAGTAGGTATAAATTCATCTGAAAGACACAATTTTGAACAAATATTTATTTTTCCAAGTTTGACACTGAAAGTAAAAGAAACAAAAATACTTCACCAAATTGCATTCTAGTAAAAAAAGGATTTGGGTAGCAACATATAAGATACAGCTGGCATTGCTATAGTTTAAAACTGGAAAGTCCCCCCAAAACCTATGTGTTAAAGGCTTGATCCCCAGCTTGGCGCTGTTGGGAGGTGGTGGAACACTTGAGACATAGGGCCTAGTCAGAGGTCTTAAGTAATTGGGAGTGTGTGTCTTTGAAAAAGAAGTTGGAACACCAGCCTTTTTCTCTCTCTTTTCTTTGGCGATGAGGGGACTTGAACTCAGGACCTAGACCTTGAGCCATAATACCAGCCCCTTTTTGTGATGGGTTTTTTTGAGATAGGGTCTTGAGAACTATTTGCCCAAGTGTGGCTTTGAACCTTGATCCTCCTGATCTCTGCCTCCTGAGTAGTGAGGATTACAGGCGAGAGCCACTGGCACCTGGCTGTTTTTGTACTTTCTGACCATGAGTTGAGGAGCTTTGCTCCATCATGTTCTGCTCCCTTATCCCAAGCCCCAAAGCAATGGAGTCAACTGACTGTGGACTAAAATCACCAACATTGTGAGCCAATTAAAATTTTTCTCTTTATAAGATGATCATTAGAGGTATTTGTTACAGTAATGGAAAGGTGACTTATCTGTCTAACCCACTGCTCTAACCATAACACCACTACCTATCCTGAGGCCTTTTGTAATAACCAACCCAATGACTTTTCTGTTCATATACATTTATTTTGGACTCCTTTTCATGCCAATTATAAGCATAAGAATGTAAATGTTATTATGTTATGTTAATAGTTTTTTTCAAGAGTTCATTCTCAGGCTGAGATTCAAATTTGTAAGGCCAGCTCACAATGCCCTGCCTGATGATCCAACCTCAAAAGATGACATGACTGAGGCTACTGAAGGTATGGATGGATACATCAGGAAGATATTGAATCATTCTTTGGTCCTATGAACATTTCCATAATATAAAGGTTTAAACATTTTTAAAGGAAAAACCTGACTTAATCATAATAGCAAAGAATTATGGAGTAAAATGGAATAGACACTATGGAAAATAGTGCAGTTTATCTTTTAAAAACACTGGATGATACAAAAATCTTATGTCTAGGTTTATCTCCAAATGAATCAGACTTAGTATATTTTGAGTCATGGTTTTCACTATGGTAGCCCAGGCTAAACTTGAACATGTGATCCTCCTGTCTCTGGCCCTGAGTATTAGGATTATAGGCATATATCACCACACCTGGCTGAAATTAGGATTTTGAAGAGCTATCTGCACTCCTATGTTCATTGTAACATGAATCACAATAGTCTAGGTATGGAATCCTGGGGCTGAAGATATGGCTTAAGTGTTAGAGTACCTGCTATGGTAAATTTGGGATCTGCTGTGTGCCAGGATTCTGTGAATAAATGTCATGAATGTCTTCAACCAATGAGAACACAGGCTAGTGGGAAGACAGACAACACAGATCCCACATGGTATGCGCTAAATTGTCTGTATACCTGGTTTGGAAAAGAAGTGACTGGATTGTCAAGCCTTCCTTGATGGCTTGGTTGGGTTCAAACCCCAGTACCACAAAGAAAAGAAAATATATGTGAAAACCTAAGTATTTATTGGTGGATTCATTGAAGTATTCATTGGTGGTTTAAAAATATGGTATATACATACAATGAAATATTTTTCAACCTTAAAAAAAAGAAAATCATGCCATTTGCAACAACATGTATGAACTGGAGGAATTTATGCAAAGTGAGTATCATGATCCCACTTATGAAAAGTAGTTAAACTCACTCTGTGAATATTAACTTCAAGTTGAGCAAGCCTAATCTGAAAAGTTCCTAAATTTAAAACTTCTTGAACACTTACATGATACCAAAGTGAAAAATTCCACCCCAGGCAACTTCATTTCCTGAACAAAAATTTTTAAAAAATATGTTGTAAAACTACCTGTATGCTATTGGATAAAGTGTGTAGGAAGCACACATGAAATTCATGTTTAGTCTTGGGTCTCATTCCCCAGGGATCTCATTGTGTTTATGCAAATAGTTAAAAATCTGGAAAAATCTATAATATGAAAGACTTTGGGTCCCATGCACTTTGGAAATGGGATAGTCAACCTGTACTAAATCCAAACCCATATTCTGCCTCTTTACTAACAAGGACACAACAACAGCAATCCTGTCTTGAGCATCACATATGGCAACTTAGCTCTCCAGTAAGCCTGACAAGAAGCAAGAATCTTGATGCCCCTGCTTCAAATGTGGAAATAAGAGACAACTGAGGCTCAAAGCCTCAACCAAGGTCACAGGGGGAGCTCAGCTGGAACCAGGAGAAGCCAGAGAACAAATTGGACTTTGAAGTGCTTGTCTCAAGGGGAGAGGTATGGGACAAAGGAGGCAAGGAGATGTCTCAGCTCTCCATGAATGAAGATACATGAGAGCTTGGGCTATCATTCCTCCTCATCTCCATAAAATAATAAAAGCTTGGCAATGCAAGACTCACATTTTAGCACAAACCTTTGCTGAAATTAAATGAGCAGCCGGTGAGCAACCCTATCCCACAGGAGCCCGAAATATCTATGGGCAGTGATAGTAAGCCCAGAATTTCAGGTAAACTGAGCACAATGGGTTCTGTCCATCTGGACAGTCCACCCCATGAGGGACTCTACTCCTGTGTAGTACCTTAGACAACCCAACAGTTTGGAATAATAGAGAAATTATACAGACCCAAACATTGAGCCCTGGAGCAAGATCACTCAAAACAAGCCTTCTGTGAAGTCTTGCAATCCAGTCACTTCTTTTCCAGGCCAGGGATATAGACAATTTAGTACGTCCCACACATGGTCTCTTTTGTTTGTCTCCCTGCTAGCCTGTGCACTCATTGGTTGAAGACATTCATGAGATTTAATCACGGAATGCTGTGCACATCAATGATCCCAAACCTTCCATGGCATTGATGCTAAAATGCAATGCTTCTCATGGTCTAAATGCTTCAAAATCAGAATGCCTCTCACCCTTGATGGCATCTTGTGATATGAAGGGCAGTTGCTGTGGGGACACAGTCATTGTAGCCATTATGACCAGTATCAAAAGCTTGCAGTATGCACTTCTGTAACTCAAAAAGAAACCTCTGGAGACTAGAATGGAGCCCTCATAACCTCCAGAAAGCAAATGTTTGTGAAGTCAGAGGGTGGTAGTGAGTAAGCAATGGTTCTAAAGATCGAAAGCAGACTAGCACTATATCACTTTTTAAATACAGGTGAGAGTGCCCAATACAAAGGGGCTTTTATTCTTTTATGCATTATTTCAGGGAAAAATCCTTCATTAGCAAGGCTCTGGATAGCACAGAGATAATATCACGTGAAGAAATAGGACATGAACAGTTCAGGAAACCAGACACTGAAATCAGAGATATCTCAGGAACACCATAACCAGTGTCATTACTCATATACACACTTTTTTTGTGATGGGTTTTTTTGAGATAGGGTCTCACGAACTATTTGCCCAGGCTGGCTTTGAACCATGATCCTACTGATCTCTGCCTCCTAAGTAGCTAGGATTAGAGGCATGATCCATCAGTGCCTGGCTTATACACATTTTTATGTGCATGTAAAAAGAGAAACCTATGGCCAATTCAAAAAGTGTGAGTCTTTTCAAAAAGTATAAAATAGAAATTCCAGCTGATATGAAAGCAGTGGTTATATATTGAGAGCATCTTGTTTTTATTCTTAAAAAAGTGTTCATCAACACTTTGCTTTTCTTTTTTTTTAAGTGCAAAGATGCCCTGAAGAATACTTAAAAATAATACATGGGAGCTGGGCACAGGGCTCACATCTCTAAGCCCAGCTACTAGGCAGGTGGAGATCAGGAAGACCACAGTTCCAAGGCCAGCCTGGGCAAAAAGTTAGTAAGACCCCATCTCGACCAAGTAAAAAGCTAGGCATGGTGGTGCAAGCTTGTCATTCCAGCTAAATAGGAAACATAAATATAAGTTCCCAGGCATAAATATGAAACTCTATCCCCAAAATGATGAAAGCATAAAGGCTGGGGGCATTGTTCAAATGGTACTGTGCCTGTCTTGCAAGCACAAGGCTGAGTCCAAACCCCAGTGTAGCCCCGCAAAAGTAATACATGTAACATTAGTATTCTTGTTTATTCCAAAAAAATTGTTTTCACAACTATGCAAGATCATTATCCAGCGGTAAGACATGCATTCTGAATGAGATCCCTTCTTATATTGTCCCCTCAGTATTGTGAAAGGCAACATGAATTTGGTAGAGAAAAAAAAGCTTTACAAAAGTTAGTTTTGTTTTACCTCTACAGAAGGATTTTAAAATGTATTATAAATGGTGCAGTGAGACTTGTTGAAAGTGTTCTAAGCGGGGAGGGGGGATAAAGGAGAATGATAGAGGAGGTGAATCTAAGATATATTGTCAGCACTTTTGTAAATGTCACAATGTACCCCCAGTACAACAATAATATGCTAATAAAAATAAAATAAAAAATATGTGAGAGTGAAGGGGACACATGACTATCAAGTTACATGGTGTGTGTGTGGAGAATGCCCCAATATTCACTCCCACTCTTCCATTTTTATTAGTTGAGTCTTCCTAGTGTGTGTTTCCTGCGTAAAAATACCTGGAAGATACAGAGAGTATCTTTTCCTTTCTTAGAACACATGAAGTTAGGGTGACTCCTACCCTCCACAGCATCTCAGATTGTTTTACGTATGACCGCAAGATGCATGTCTTACAATGTTCAGCCCTAACTGCTGTCGCATTGCTCCTCACCTTCATGTTCAACACTGACCACATTGTGAAGCAGGCTGATCCAAACCAAGCGAAGCCACATGTGCTGAGCCATGTTCCTTCTTTCAAGGAATGGTGGTCAATCAGCTCACTGTGTAATGCTGGGAATCAACTACAACCTCTGTGTCCTCCCTGTGCCCTCCTCCTCCACCTCCCTGCTCCCAGCCATCATTCCCTGTCTCCTCCTTGTCTCCTCCCTTTTCTACTTCTAATGCCTCTCTGCTCCTTATCTTCTTACTCCTCCCATCTCTTCTCCTCCTCCAATTCTTCTTTTTCCTCCTCCTTCTTCTCATCTATGTCTCTTCTTCCTCATCATCTAGCCCCTTTCCTCCAACTCCACTCCATCTTCTCTTCCACCACCTTCTCCCCTCTATCCCTGCTCCTTTTCTCTTCCCTCTACTTCCTCTCCTTATTCTCTCCTCTTTCCCATTCTTGTCCTTCTCCTCCTCCTTTTCTTCATTCTCCTTCTTTACCTGCCCTTTCTTCCCATTCTCTTTCTCCCTCATTTCCTCTCCCTCTTCTTCCTCCTCTTTTCTCCTTCTTCTCCTTCTTTCCTCCCCCTCTGTATGTTCCAAAGCTAAGCCATCAGCTTTGAAAAGGAACAAATACAGAAAAAGAAATACTTGAAATAACTAACAAGGAAAAGCCATGGTAATGAAATTAGAGTTGTCTCCATAAAGATAACCATCAAGGCTCACCTGAGCAGTCATGGGTTTATCTGCACCTTGGACCTTATCTATCTTTGTAAGCCAGATATCTGTATCTTGGTGCTTACCAATCTTTGGAAGTCAGAGTTGAAGAATCTACTGGAGAGACCCAGGGAGGCTTCCTTGTCTGTCCCATGGGATTCTGGTGGGATTAAATAAATTACTGTGGGTAGTAGCTCTCTAACTATCAGACCAGTGTCCTTCTTATTGCACTGCACAATGCAAAGATTTAAAAAATGTTGTCCTTCCAAAGGAGATAGGGAAGATTTTAGGGAAGGTACTTTTTCTCTGCTTCCCTGAGGTGCCACAAGACCTCTGTCTTGCCTTAAATGAGCCAATGACATCCATCATTGCACCACTACCATGTTAAGAACATCATCACCTGGATAGCTCTATCACCTCACCTGCTGGTGCAGAGGAATCTTGAGGAGCTCCTCATGATGGGCTGAGGTCAGGAAAGGTTTTTTGAAAGAGAGAGCCATGTTGGCTTTCTAGCAAGGAAGATGGCAGCCTATTCTGTCTGTGAGTGAGATTGTGGTGCAGGAAAGAGACCCAGTGCCCATCAATCAATGTATAGACAAAGAAAAGATAGTATAAATAACAATAGAGTATATATACCACATAAAGAAGAATGAAATTATATTGCTTGCAGTAAGATGGGTGGAACTGGAGATGGGAATGTTAAGCGAAATAAGCCAGACTTGGAAAAACAAATATTGCATGTTTTCCCTTATATGCAGAATCTAGACCTAAAATATGACGTGTAAAATGGGGACTACTGAGGGTGGGACCAGCAGACTAGGGATGGAGAAAGGAGAGGGTGATTAGGCTGATTATGATTGAGATATTTATAGTCATATATGAAAATAAAACAAACCTGTTAAAGTTGGAAAAAGGAGGGAAGGGATAAAATAAAGAGTAACAGAGAGGGTGAATTTGATCAAAGTACATTATGTGCATATATAGAAAAAATCACAATGAAATCCCTTTGTGCAATTGACATATGCTAATAAAAATATTTAAAAAGAGCCCCAGAGGGACTCATTGCTCCCATGACTTCATTGGTTCTTCTAATACAGAGATGAACAACTGTACAAAAATGCAAGTGACAAAAGTAGCAATTCTCTTTCTAGTTTTCTGAGGAAACTTCATAATGTTTTCTATAAATGACTGTATTAATTTATGTTCTCATTCATACATTCTCATACATAAGGATTCCTCTTCTTGAAGCCTTCCCCAACACTTGGTACCTTTTGCCATTTTGATAACAGTCAATCTGGAGTCTGTATTTTCAAGGCTCTCTGGTTATTCCACCATATATTCTTTTTCCTTCCATTTGAATTAGCATATGTTCATTGTATACAGGGATTTCACAGTGATGCTACCACATACACATACAATGTATTCCAATCAGACCCATCCCTTCTATCACTCCCCCTCACATCCCCCCTTCTTGGAACAATTTCAAAAGGGTTTGTTGTTCTATTTTCACACATGTGCATAGAATATTTTTAACATATTCACTCCCCTCATACATTTTCTGTTTATCCTCTCCCCTCATGCTGGTGCCTACCCCTAAACAGAACCTATTTTACATTCCTTCATTAATCGCTTAAAGCTAGATTCCACAAAAGAGAGAGAACATGTGATATTTGACTTTTTAAATCTGTTTATTTTGCTTAGCATGATAATCTCTACTATACATTCTATTTTTAAAATTAGGAGTTCATAGAAAGATATACACCCACATAGCCACACACAAATTTATAATATGATATATAATATATGAACGTTAGACACTCAAATCCGAATGAGACAGAAAGAGAGAGGAGGGAGAGAGAGGGATGGGGAAAGAGAGAGAGTGAACAAAAACAAAGAAAGAGATATAAAGCGAATAGAAAAGGAGAGAGTAGAAGAGAGATGATAATGTCAGGGCGAGTTCAACAGACGGAAAAGCAAGACTAAAATATGGAGAGAGAAGTGAGGGTAGCCAGGAGTGAAAGTTCACATCTATAATCTTAGTGCTTGGGAGGCTGAAGAAGGAGGATCTTGAGTTTGAGGCCAACCTGGATGGCACAGCTAGACTCTGTCTCAAGAACTATAAAAACCAGTGAAGGCAGGGATAAAGACAAAATAGACAGGGGAAAGGAGGCTGCCATAGGAGAAAACCAAAACTTTAAAGTCTCTTATTGTAGAAATACCCAGGATTGGGAAATAAGAACATGGCAACAATGTGACTTATGGTCATTTGCCATATGGCTTTAGTAAGACCCTTAGCCTCAATTTCCTCATCTGTAAAACCAAGGAGTCCTATTTGGGATCAACTGTAATATGTGGTCAATCTTGAAAGACACCAAGAGAGAGCTTATGGACTTCAAAAAATTCAGTGTGTGTGTGTGGGGAGGGTGAATGAAGATTTAGGTGGGGGTATATGGTTGATGAGCTTCATGTACCTATACAAAATAGAACAATGAAACCTCTTGCAATTGCTTAAAATGGGGTAGGGAGGGGGGTCAAGGGACAGAGATGGTGGGGGGTGATCTAACTAATATACAATATC